TGTTCAAATGTTTTTCGAAGCAAGATTAAAAGGGCTGTGATATGATATATCGAGCAACCCATTTTGTTAATTATGTGTGGTAACTGATTTTGCTTGGAAAAAAGGAAAAAAGAAAAAAAAACTTAAACATACTTGAATACAAACTTGCTTCCCATTTTTCAAAATGTCGGAACATAAAAGAACCTTCTTTTGAAATTAATTTTTGAGGTTTTTAGTCTTTGCTATTTTTTGTTGTAACCTAATCCATTTCGAGAAAAAACGCGAGAACTTTAGAATTCGTTGCAAATAGCATATAAATTTTTAATTTTGCTTCGTGATTTAATGAAGTTTATGCACAAAGGTTAAAAATGTGTTTTTTTTTTGTTGTCAAATGGAAATGCGATTGCATGGTGAAAATGACTTCACCGATTTTACGGCCAACAATCGAACAAAATTTAGACTGATTGTAACTTGGACTGGTTTTGGTGGATTTCAAATGATTTGTTGTTGCAAAAAAATTGTATGTTTTTGCGACTAAAATGATGTTGGTTCTTCAGATCGTTTGAGCACTGTTTAAACTTAATCCATTTCGAGAAAAAAACTACGAGATTTTAAAACTTGGTTGCAAATATTATACATAGTTTTAAAATTGCCTTTTGGTTTTTTGAGGTTTATGCACAAAGGTTAAAATCATGTACTTTTTGGTGGTCCACAGAAATCCGGTTGCCTGGCGAAAATAATTTTCACAAAAATTCTGGCCAATAGTCAAACAAACTAAAAAAAAGTTCAGACTGGTTGTAGTTTGGAATGGTTTTTGGTGAATTTTCAAAACAATTTGATGTTGCAAATTTATTTTTTTTCCGGTATTACGCTGACGTTGGCTCTGCACAATGTTTGAGCCTTGTTTTCATTATGTTCCAATGAACAAAATAAAACACACATTTCTAGGGCAAGTTTTCTGTAAAAGAGCATTGAAATTTGTAAATGTACCAATGGAGTTTTTCGCTGTTTTAATTTTTTTTATTTCATATCAAATCTCTTGCTCACAAACAGTTAAACTGTGCTCTCAAATAACCAAATTTCAAAAAATCGAATTTCAATGTGATATATTTTAAGATTCAAAAGTGGATATAAAATTTCAAACTCATTAGAATGAAAAAGTTACCTATTGGACAAACGTTCTGCTCATGTGCAACAAATGTTCGGCTAATATGAACTAACTAAACAAACTATTCCCCCCCCCCTCCCCCCCCCCTAAAATATACCATGTGAATTATCTTTAATTTGAAACTAAATTGAAGTTTGCCTTTTGAACTAGTATAGTCGGTTACTAGTTCATAATGTTTATAAAAAACTCTAAATTAAAAAAAAAAACTTTAAAAAACTTTGTTTTGTTCTATTTTTTTGTGCGCGGTGACCTGAAAAAATATATAAAAGCCTAGTGAGTTAGTGAATTAGGCATATTTCAAAAAAGTACTGAAAAGTCCGCAAAATTTCAATTTTGTTTGCACAATCATTTTAAATTTTTTTTAACTCTTTTTTTTTTACCAGAAGAGCGCTGAAGGAATCTTTCAAAACTAGTTTTTTTTTTCAAGCACATATTTTTTTTAAAAATTTTGCCGACTGTTTTTTAGGTCGACTCAAAATGATTTTTCGAGCTTTCCCTAAGCAATATTTGCTGCAGGCAAAATTTTGAAAAAACAGTCCAAAAAAGCGTTTTTTTGGCACTTTTTGGAAAATTTTAACTAAAAAATTGCGTTTTTTCGGCGCGCGCTCCTCACTCAAAAATAGCATATATTGGCGCCCAAGGCGCCTTTAGAAAAATTTTAGGGTCGGTCAGCCAAAAATGGATTTTTTTCAAAGTACCAAAGGGGGGACCTTTTGGGTCGGCAGGGGGTCGAATCCCTGAGGGGGAGAAAGTGTCCCCCCTAAATCCGCCCCTGTTCGAAACGATGTTTCATAGAATCTTAGAGCTATAAAGGGAAACTTAACAGCTTAAACTGGGCTGCATAAAATCATCAAAATGTTTGGAGAAGTCTTATATTCAAAATGGCATATTCAAACCACAAACGATTTTTTTCATATCGCGTACCGCAAGGAAACGGCAAATAAAAGTGACAACATTTTTTCTGGGAAAAACTGAAACATTGTGCATATTCGTATCTACTATCGACAGTACTGATTGAAGCGATCCGCTGGCAGAGTAAAAACTCGAGAATTTCTTCTAATGATGCTGTAATCAGTTTGTGTGAGAACTTCTCAATATTTTCCTCATTAGCGTGCCGAGGGGGGTCCCCTTTTGTATAATTTTACAATATCCATTTTTGGCTGACCGGCCTCAAAATTTTTTTCTAAGGGCACCGTCTTCGCCAACATAACTAAATTTAAGGGGGGAGCGCGCAGATAGTTTTTGACAAAATAGGCTCTATTCATGACCTGAATTGTCTCACATGAATTAAAGAAAACTGCGGTAAAATTTTTTAATAATAGCATAATTTGTTCCGAACTAATGAGTAATAAATTTGACTTCATTAAAGTGGCTTTCAAGATATGTTCATCAAATTGTCTTGAATATTTGGCGACCAAAATTGAAAAAGATATCGAAGTCTACAGTAAGTCAACAGGGACAACTCAGCCCCCCTCAACTTCAAGGCGCAGCCCAGGACACAACCAGCGGTTCTACCTCAAGTGCCATAGTCAGAGCCCAAGTGCCAATCTACCAAAAGTGCCATAGTCAGAGCCCAAGTGTCTGTCTACCAAGTGCCATAGTCAGAGCCCAAGTGCCGGTCTACCAAGTACCATAGTCAGAGCCCAAGTGCCGGTCTACCAAAAGTGCCATAGTCAGAGCCCAAGTGCCGGTCTACCAAGTGCCGGTCTACCAAGTGCCGGTCTACCTCAAGTGCCAAGTCAGGCTAGATCCATTTCAAAAACATTTTTTTTCACATCCATTTTGTGCTTATGCTTGAAAACTATAGTGAATCTACAAAACTTCTAGACGAAAAACTGAAAAAAAAAACAGACCTGAGTAAATTTTTCAGTAAATCTCCCCCTCAATCATAAATCATTGTGCTTGTACTTGTCAGCCAAAACCCATACTGTGCTAAGCTTTCGTACAGTTTTTTTTTAACGAAATCTACAACCTCCAATGTGAAATCTTAGTGCTGAATTGGTCAATTTGATTTTAATTCTCGGGGTATTAAGGTAGTACCTAAACACACAAAAAAAAATACTGATAGCCAAAACCCGATAGCCAAAATCTTCTAGCCCAAAACTAGCTGCTGCGAATTTTCAAAAGCCCATTTTTCCGAAACGTTTTCTTTAAACCCATAACTACAAAAGGTTTTACTAGCCACATCTACAAAACTTTCTACAAAAATTTTGAAGGTCTCAAAATTTTTTACTCATTTGAACTTTAAAAAAAAAAAAGTTTCACCGCTTAGTCCTTAACCATAATTAAAAAGCTCATAACTGCGTGAGCTGTAGCTCACTTTGTTTAATTAACCACCGGGTTAACCCTCTGGCTGGTTGACTTTAACAAAAAATTAAACGTAACTTATAGTAAAAACTTTGAGAAAGCTCAGAATAAAAGCTTCATTACCGGAACTACTTTGCGATCGCTGCCATCCGAGCTCGTAAACTTTTAATACATATTTTCTACTCTTTGTACTACTTTCTTGAGTGGCTCCAACAAAGCCGACCTTACAACAGCTACTCAATCAATGGAGACGCCGCTACAGTACTTTCGAGGAGCTTGAGGAAGAAGTAACGAGGCAAATAGCCAACTCAAGCGAAATCGAGTACGTTAAACTCAGTTTTGAGGAGATAACCACTTGTTTTGATCTGCTTGATACGCTCGCAGACGACTTAGCCGCGTTTTTTACTCAGGAAGCACAAGACTGCCTCAACACTGCTTCAACGCTACGAAAACGAAAGTGCGACCTACTGATCAATGTTAGAAAATACGAAAAGGTCTTAACAAACGATGGTTCAGTTTCCACAAGGTCTAACAGCCCACTTAGAGTGCAAGGCACATCTGAAACAGCCAGTGTACCAGTAAGAAGCTCAAATACTACTGAAAACTTGGCCAACAACTTCATCAGTACTACGGCTGCCGACTTCTCAACTTACACATCCACCTACGGCTTGAGTTCATTCGACTTAGACGCTCCCCAACGCTACAGTTTCCCACCTCTACCGGGAACCAACAGAGCTATGGATCAGACAGTCAACGGTGTCATCACTACTTCTACAACTGATTTCAGATCAGTCTCACCGTCTGCAAACCCGTGTACTTTCAACTTTCGAGCTCCACGACGATACAACTTCTCGCCTCCACCAGTTTCCAATGAAAATCACATTTGGAACGACAACTCAAGACTTGAAGCCCAGATGTCAACTGGCAATAATCGATATGGTCTGCTAACAACTTCAATTGCAAATAGTCCTGCTACTACATCTGAACAGTTCGTTACCAACCACTTCAACGACCATCATAGGACTATCCTACAATCACACGAACAACAACGCAACAGCCTTTTCGATAATGAACAAAGACAAATCACCAACCACACTACCAGTCATCCGACCACTGCCATCAACTACAGTTTGAAAGGATTCAAATTGCCAGATATAAAACTACAAAAGTTTGACGGCAACCCACTGGAGTGGAACAACTGGTTCGAACTCTTCCAGACTGCGATTGGCAACAACCCACGCCTAAGCCCATTTGAAAAAATAACTTACTTGCAGTCATTATGCACTGATAATGCTAAATCTTTAATAGAGAGCTACGGAACCAATTCTTCTCAGTATGAACAGGCAATACTTGAATCAGTGCGTAGATACGGTAACCCAAAAGATGTGGTGTCAGCGTTCATCAGGGAACTTGAAAAGTTTGACAAATTGATACTAAGCGAACCACAGGGTTTCATAAGATACGCTGCTTTCCTACGGAAACTAATCCACAACTTCGAACTCAACGGCTACACCGCTGATCTAAATTCTAGTAACCTGACTCGACTTGCTCGATCAAAACTCCCAGTAACTCTACTAATGAAGTGGGAAGAACACTGCGTGCTGCACGATCTCGATTATGCTACACTCAAAGACTTGACGCACTACCTCAATAACTACTCGCGAGCATGCGAGAACCTGGACATAGACCCGTCGACTCCAAACCAAGCGGGACGAAATCGCCAACCTATGAAGCAACAACAAACCGACAGCCGACCCAACCAATTTACTTCTATGTCCAGGCAAAACTACGACAAATCTTCAGGCATATCAGCAAGACCAACAACTTTAACATGTCCAATAGATAACCAAGTTCACTACGTTGGAAAATGTCCGGACTTTTTGAAACTTCCCGTAGATCAACGGGCAGAGCTGGTGAAGCAACATAAGCTGTGCTTCAACTGCTTAGGCCAACACAGATTTAGTGAATGCACATCGTCTAAGCGATGTTTCATCAACAACTGCGGAGGGAAACACCATTCAACTCTACACATCCAGAAAAAACCATTTCAAACGCACAACCAAAAATCAAATAACATGCAGCTTGGCACTACAGTAACCAAGCCCTCGGAACAAGCTGAGGATCCAATCCAAAATATAAACATTATCAGAAATCAGTTACAATTTATGCCGGTAACACTGTTTAACAATGGCATCAAACTAGATTGCTACGCCATACTCGACAACTGCAGCAGCTGCTCATATATCCTCAGCAAAACAGCTTCAGTGCAAACCAAGCCAACAACTACAGCTTAGCGTACGAGGTGCTTTCAGTAAGGAAAAAGTGTCTTCCTCGCTGGTCCGGCTTAGTATCGGACCACATAACGCTACAAAACCTACTTTCACCCTACAATCAGTCTATTCAGTTGAAGCTCTGAGTTTTGACGCTATCGACGCAAACAACCTTAACAAAACGTGCTCACTCTACAATCACCTTCGACATGTCAACTTGCCTGAACTAGGCGACAACACAGTTCAAATTTTGCTTGGCGTAGATGCTTTCTGGAATATAGCGGAGCGCGATATCAGAAAAGGTCCTACAGGCACGCCCTACGCTGTAAAAAACCTACTAGGTTGGACGATCACTGGCCCACTCAACCAGAAATCTAATAGTTCCGGACCAAGTTCACACTCAACTAACTTCATCGACTTAAATGATCAAGAAGACGCTAATCTCACTGAATTAGTGGAAAATTTCTGGAAAGTAGAAGGATCAGGCATCCAGGAAGATAACAAAGCTACATACTCTGATAAAAGCAAACGACAACTAAGATTTATGGAAAAAAGTATTGAGCACGATGGAGATCGCTACAAAATAAATCTGCTCTGGAAAAACGAAATAAAATTGCCAAACAATTATCCGGTAGCTAAAGCTCAACTGCTATCGCTACAAAAACGGCTCAGAAAAGACCCTGAAACCATGCAACTCTACGAGAAATCGCTTACTACTGACCTGGAAAATAACTACGTCAAGCCCGTTACTTTCCAATACCCACAACCTGAATTACTTTGGTACCTCCCACATCACCCTGTTACTAATCCAAACAAGCCCGGAAAGGTACGCAGAGTGGCCAACGCCGCCTCAACGTACAAAGGCGTCTCGCTGAACTCTTGCCTCGAAACTGGACCTGACCTCCTGTACAACATGTTTGGACTTCTACTATGATTCCGGGAAAAACATGTGGCTGTATCAGCGGATATTGAATGTATGTTTATGCAAATAGGTATTAAAGATGAAGATCAAAATGCGCTTCGCTTCCTTTGGCCTACTAAAAATGGTATCAAACAATACCAATACACGCGACTTATCTTTGGTGCAAAATGCTCACCATCCATTGCCATCTTTGCGCTTCATCAAACAGCTGCCGATTACTGCATAACCAAACCCAGTATTGCTCAACTGCTTCACAAAAGCTTTTAGATGGACGACTTCGTTCACTCGTTCAACACGACACACGAGGCTAGAGACTCTACTACGCAACTAAAATCCTCCCTAAGACAGGGGGGATTCAACCTAACTAAGTTCGTATCTAACACTAAGGACGCGATCTATTCCATTGATGGAGGCGAAGTTTCTACTAATGCTACAGTGCATCGTGTTCTGGGTGTCAAATGGGACACAACTGACGATACGATGTTCGTGCAACCAACAACCAAGCTAAATAATACTACATCATCTACACTCCGAACAGTTCTCTCTACAGTAGCAAGGGTTTTCGACCCCTTAGGCATCCTAGCGCCGTTTGTCATAAAACTCAAAATTCTTCTGCAAAACTTGTGGAAGTCTGGTATCTCCTGGGACGAAACTGTGCCCAGTGACTTTGTTCCGATAATTGACAAATGGGTTGACCAATGCAAACAAGTACCCCCTGTTAGACTGCCGCGCTTACTTGGTCCACAGCTGTCACCTAGTGATATACAGCTTCATGTTTTCTGCGACGCGTCGCAAGACGCAATGGCTACGTGCATCTATTTCCGAACTGCTTGTAGCTCTGGCATACACGCTACTTTCTTGATTGGCAGAACAAAGGTAGCACCACTGAATCAAGAGAGCATTCCTAAACTGGAATTACAAGCCGCCCTTTTGGGTGCTCGGCTATGCAAGTTCGCTACTGATGAAATGCGATTAAAGCCCCACTCCACTCACTTTTGGACGGATAGCACTACTGTTTTGTCCTGGATCGCTTCACCTGGTAAACTGAAAACTTACTGCGCAAACAGAGTTGGTGAAATACTTACTTCATGCAAAGCCGAACAATGGAAACACATACCTGGTAGACTCAACCCAGCAGACAGTGCTACACGAGGAGTTGAACTTAAAGACGTAGCAAAGCTCTGGTTGGATGCACCACAATTTCTACTCAACAATGAGCCTATTTGGGGGACCAACGAAACAATGGAACAAAGTAATGCTACAACGGTTAGCCCCTCAACTACACCCTTATTCGATTTTTCCAGGATTTCAGATTGGTTTCGATTAGTTCGGGTCACAGCTCGGGTTATAGTTTTTGTCGATACACTTAATGTAACAGTCGCCTACTTTAGTCACATATGAGGCTTAAGAAAAATAGGCCCTATAACCATTGGCTCAAGAGTCAGGGACACTATCTCTTGTGTTTTTCCGCCTCAAGAACGGTCGGAGCCAATTCGGTTCGCTTGCGACATGAGACTGGAACCCATTACAGCTTAAAGGCCACTACCAAAATACTCCCCCACTCTAGAAATAAAAACGTCCCCATACTTAGGTCTCGGGATACCCAAAATACATGAACGCCGTTAAAAACCGGGTCGGAACAATCCGCTTAGTTACTTTTTATTGGACAGTGGAACTTTGATCCATTTCAGATGGATCAACCTAAAACTCGCCTTATCTCAACATAATTATCATAAAATGCACTCGAGAAATTTAAATTGGAACTTACATATCGACGCACTTGAGTATGAGGAGTAAGTTATAACTGAGCAGCTTGAGAATTAACTAATATAACTAAATAAGTTTTAAGGCCAATTAGTTTCAATAACGAAAGTAAGTTCTGTCTCAAGAATTGAAGTTTTCGTTTGGACCATTAGGACACTCGAGTAGTCCTCTATTCCGTTGAAGGTCCACACTATTCCATTCGAATAGTGATCCTTCCTCAAGTCAATGTTGTTTTCTCCTGTTTTCGGGATAAGACAGCTCTACTCTCTTGATATTTCGTATCGAGAAATTGCGAACAGCAATTTCCTGCCTTTTTCTTGAGTAGTTTCCCGCAATTGTTAATTCGGGTGTTCTGATTTTTTACTTTTTCATTTTCAGTTGGTTCGAGAAAATTGAGCATGACATGCTCAATTCGAATTTTGCAAAATTAAAATTTCACTCCAAAATTGCGTATTTCTCAAGGTCAAACCCCCAGACATGACCGACTGGCACATACTCCCCGGACTCGAGATCGATGTCCTCATCGTGTGTTGTCATCTGCCAATAAGTCCCAGAGAACCGAGTGTTGCTCAAGATACAGTGCCAGTGGTCATTTACAGAAGTTTGCATCGGACTTAAGTTTATCTACCTTGCAAAATTCACGACCATATAAAATTTTCACACTACCGCTAAACAGCAATCAAAATCTGCATACACCTGCACCCATGAATCCCCGCTTTTTAAGCTGGTAATTTTTAAAATTTCTTTTGTCCTATTTCAGTCAGAGAATTGTCATGCATCAATTTGATTTATATACTAGATCTATCATATTAATAACAATATCTTATTCGTCTAAAATTTCTTTTCCGTGAACCCAGATTTTATCCAAGTTCACGCTCAAGCCCCCTCCCTCTCAAGACTCAAGACTCTAGAATTTCCTTTCGAGCCACTGGCTCACCTCATGTTCTTCGCCTTCGAGGTACCTGATACCGGCGTTCTTGGCACTGTAATTTGTTCCAATAGTGCCTCTTCGTCATCGGAGCTAATCACAATTTCCTCCCAGGCCTTCAGCTGTTCATAGGCTCGCATCCACTCTCTCTGCTCTTGCAACCTTTTCAATTGACTTGGTAGGCCTTTCACCTTCGACTCCCGGTTCAAGCAGAAGGAGTTATGAAGACTCAAGCTCACATTCCTCGCCAGGTCCTCCTCCAGTATCGTTTCCCTCGCTCTAGAATTGTCTCTGGATATTCTGCCTACTCTTTTCCACCCCGCCGTGATTGCGTTTCGATGGGTTAGCAGAGGTCTCTTAAAGGCATCTGGCCCTATTTCAGCTTGGAATTGTCGATATTCCTTCTGATGTTTCCTCATGTGGTCCTTTGTCACTGCATACAACCAGGATGTTAACGTCGCACGAAACCAAGGAAAGAATCTCAGGCGGCTCCATATGTGTCTGACTTGCACTGGTATGGCGAATACCTTGCATGCAGTCTCGAACAACTCCAGTCTCCTGCTGTAATCTATCGCATAAATCGATTCAGCTGTTGGCGCTCTCGATTCTCTGTACTTCGCTATATTCTCCTCAATCCATCTCAGAGCCAGCATCGTGCTTACCACTAAGATGGTCACCTTTTGTCGATACTCCGGTAGTCCTAGCGACTTAATTTCTTCTACGTCCCAGATCAGACAGAGATTGGCGTGGTCCGGGTACCACACTGTCTGCGCCAGACAGTGGCATGGACAATCCCCATGCGTGAGGTCGATGCTTCTAAGGTTGCGTTCTCCCGAAGCTTCTAGGAGAGGCTCAAGTTCCATCATTTTCTCATGCACCACGTCGACTTCTTCCGAGCTTGAAGCACCTACTGCGGGTTTCCCCACCACGTTCTGCTTCCCATGATCACTTGCATTTTCGCTCTCCAAGCCTAGAAGTTCTTCACCCCAGATTTCACTCAAGTCATCTCTTTGCTCCTTTGGTACTGCTCCTCGGATCTTCCTCAATAGCTTGTGTGAGTGGTGTGACATCCGAGCTAGTCTCACACACTTGGGCACTGAGAAGGCTTTGTCTATCATCACCCTCTGGCTGGACACCTCCACCATCGCCATGTGTAGTGGATAGTGGCTCCCACATAGGTTAGCCAACACTGATCCCACTAAGGATTTTGCATTTAGAGGCAATCCATAGGCTTCGCTCATGGGAAATCCCATCTCTGCCTCGAGTCCGATCTTCCAACTCTTGATGTGCTTCTGGTTCACTTGTAGCACTCCGGGCCATGACTCCACGCTTAACGCGGTCACCAGGTGATGTTCTGACTCTAGCCTCTCCAGTGACTGGAGACTGCACATTCTTGAGAAGAATCCCAAGGCTGTCGCTAGGTTCACGGTGGTCCTCGCGTAACATTCAGCCACTATCTGTACCTCACTCTTCTCCCTTTCAGTGATATCTTCAAACCAGGTAGTGAGGTCCTCTTTCTGGAAAGATTGTATCCTGACGCATAATCGTCCATCACAAATATGTTCGCCGTTACTGCATGTCGAATCAAGACAACTGCCCGGCTCCATCCTCCTCACCGGCTCTGTTCCACTTGTCACCTCACTTGATTCTTTCACCTGAGGCAAGATCAGTTAGTGTACTATGCTCAAGATCGCCAAGTCCTCATCCTCTGTCGGTGCCAATCTCACTCGCTCAGTGACCTCCTCAATCATACTTGCATGGGGATGTGGACACCAGGAAGGTCTGAGTAATTTCCATACCACTCCCAGGTTCGTGATCAACACGCCACTCCCATCACCCATTTTTAGCTCCACTCTTTTACTTGAGCGTGGCACACTTATCACTCCCGGCATCCCCTCAAGAACCAGACCCAGGCTAGGTCTCTCTCTCTCCACAACGTCTATCTCCACTATCTTCTCTGTCCAGAACTTCAACAGCTCCGCCACTTCATAATTTCTGTTGGCTCCTCCAGCTTCCAGGTCCAAGAAGGGGTTGTACGCCATTCCCATTACTCCAGAAACATATTGGTACTCTCCCTTTCTGTTGAGTTTCAAGTACTCCCCTGACGAGGCCAGGTTGCGGTGAACGTCGTGCTCCTCTTCGAACTTCTTGTTGTAGAACCTCCGTATCTCATCCAACTTCCTATGGTTCTCCAGAGATTGCCTAGAACCATCCTCCCTCTCTATCCCAGTGCTCTGATACACATTCAAGATGACTGTGGAGACTCTCCTTTCCAACGTCTTGCTTGCGACTGCTTTCTGATGACATGCTAGGATGGTAC